GCCTGTACTCCCGTCCGCGGCGTGCTCCCGCTTCCGCCCCGGTCGCTCTCCCCGTCGCCTGTCAGACCGACACGTGCTGAGAGCGACGCGCCGCCGCCGCCGCCGCCGCCGCGACTAATACGTTGTTTGTCGCGGGCGGCCGCGGCCGACCGGCCGGCTCCGCTCGTCCTGCCCGGTATCGTGTCTCCCCGGCTGGGTGTCGGCCCCAGGACGGAACGGGCCGGGCTTTTTGTGGAGCCGTCTCGCGCTGGGCACGCGGCGCGTCGTCGCGTGCCTGGCGTCTGTGGCGGCTCCCGTTCGGAAGCGAGGTCTGGCTTCTCGTTCCGAATATTTCGGTACTAGATCACGGGTATTATTGGGTCGGGTGGTTCGTACCGTACACCAGTAATGGGCTTACAACACCATTCATTACGTACGCAAAGCAGCTTATTACACCATTTGTGTTTGGTGATGAATGACACCAGGCCCATAACGTTTACATTGATCCGAACAGAGCTTTATGCTCCAGGTACCAATTTTTGCACTTTGTGAGGTATGGACCATTACGGGGTGACCTAAGCTTTCGTTTGGCGAACCTCATCAGTGGGTCATGGCGCTCCTCGTTAACTTCCAGCAACCGCTAAAAACGTGCCCAGAGTTTCAGGCAGAGATTGCTTGACCACACAAGGCTTAAATCTGTGGCAACTTTTCGTTTCTGTGGGGAAATGCTGCGCGGCCGGGTCGATTTCACCGGAGGCTCCCCTCTGCCCCGTTCCTCAGCGCGGCGCCGGGCTCAACGGCGCCCCGATCGGCGCCGGCGCCGCGCCACGCGCCGCGCGCGCGCCACTTCGCTGACAGCGGGGGGAGCGCCGCCGCCGCCGCCGCCCGATGGCTCACTCGTCCCACCCGGAGCCGGACGGGGCCGGGACGGGGCTCGGACAGGCCGGGCCGGCCGCGGCTGGGTGGGCCTGCCGGCGCGGCTGTCTTAGCCAGGGCGTGCCCCGCCGCCGATGACAGCCGTATTAATCATTGTCGCCCGGTCCTGGGCACAGCCTAATGGGCCGGCCGCGACACGCTCGGCTCGAGCGGCGGCGCCCGCTCTGCACGCGCTCGTCGGCATTTGTCAGCAGCTGCAGGCGCGGAGCGGTGACCGCGCCGGCCGCGTCAACGCCGACTTCGGGCGGTCAGCACCGCCCCTAGGACAGGCGCTGTACCGAGGCTTCGGCGCTGGAAGGATGGGTCCGATGTGGGTGGCGAGTTGTCTTTCTGCGCAGTACCTCGCTTCTTCTTTGCGGTTTTTAATATGCCTCTTGTAGCGTTGAAACCTTTGGCATTTTCATCGCCATCACGTGTACAAACAGGAGTTGAAGTAATATATTAGCGAAGGATGCGGTGGGCATTTAGTTGCGCATAAGATAAGTACGTATATTTGTCGTTGTAAACAACACTGCTCAAAGTTGAAAGCCGATGATGTTGCAAACGACACCGGTGCACGCTTAAACGCCTGGAGGAAAAACGCCACTTGTCTACGTAAGCTGACCATAAAATAATTCCAAATCCGTCTGTGACAGCAGAACAGTAGCACGCTATATGACAGCTCTGCATTTTTCACTTGCATCGATATCGGCATCAGCTCTGAGGATCTTTGACTTTTCTCTTATCGATTAAAAGAGCGGCCGCCTCCGCATGAAGACGTCAGCGGCACCTGCGGCTCGACGCTGTACTGCTTTAGCTCTGTTATGCATGAAAATACACCTGGAAAATGAAACGTTCTTAGGTTTTCTTTCCTGCGGCATATCAAAGTTTGTCGATGGCTCCATTTATAGCGATGGTGTATCGGCGGTGATGCTGTTCCGCTTGTGAGTTCGGCGACCTTAAACGCTGTCATGGCCCATGCGTCTTACTGGCACGCTCGTCAACACATCAGAGTGAGCCAGCATGTAAGCAAACCATGTTTCGGCGCTTTTTCGCTTTTGAAATCCCGCACACATTTCACGTTGCCCCTGACACGCGGCGGGCAAGATCACGGACGTTACATAATCGAGCCTCTTGTTCACCAGCTGCCAAGGCTGGCCAGGGATAATGGCGTTGTCGATCCTGGCGCGTGTACACCTGTTACACTCGTCGCCATCCCTCTGCCATCGCTCATCCCGGCGGACAGCCTGTGTCCGGTGCCAACGGGCAAAACAATACACCAGCCCGCGCGACCTCACCCAGAACACTGGGCCGCTCGTGCGAGCACTGCCGTTCCGTGGGGCTGCGGTCCGGACTAGACCAGACTTCTGGTCCGGACTAGTACACTAAACCAGACTTCCCAGACTTCAGGCGACAGCATCGACAGCACAAACCACACGTTTAAACAAAGCATCCCTAACCTTAAGCTGTAGGTATAATGTGATCAGCCGCTAAAACGCCTGATCCGGCGCGGGGCCAGCTGTAACAGGCGCGAACGTTGTCAGTTGTCATCACGTGGATGATGTCTAAAACTCAGTGAATGGCGGCAGGTATCTTTGGCAGCCGATACCAATGGGTTTGATCAACGCGCTGGGGGAGGCCTTTCATGACAGGTTAACAGGCGGAGGTCCGCTGTTTACCATTCGCCAGCTAGTTTACAAACAACTTTTTGAAAAATGGTTGGCCATAAACCTGGCCATGCCTGACAATTTGATCGACGAAATACATGAGTTTGCGGTGATTTAATGCTTTGGCAGCTATGACTGAGCTGTTGCGAAGGACGCGATTAGTTTGGGTGGAAAATAATCACAGGGAGCGATTGAGATCGGTCTCGGAGGAGGTGACAGCGGCCATTTTCACCCCGTCACCGGCTGAGCTAATGGTCCGGCGACGCTAAGGCCCGCTCTTGACTTCAGCCGGGGTATCCACCCACACCGTACAACTGGCTTCACGTCTTCTGGTCAGCTGCTGAGATCTGGCGTCAGTCATTGAGAGCTCCGCCAGACGGGCCAGTCTGGATGAAGCCAGCAGGCCTGACAGACTGTCATTGAAATACCACTGTCCTTGTTGCCCTACTATCCTTGTTATCCTACCATTGTTGTTCTCGTTTCCGGGTCGGGTCGTGTCGCTGAAGGTTGCGATTTTGTTAAAGTTCCAGTAAGCTTAAAGCAAGTAGGCAAGTAGGCAAGTAAGACTTGCTCACCCAGCCGCCTAGCCTGCAGTGAGAAGTTCCGAGCGAGCAGGTGGAGAACAGCACCCGTGTTTTAGAAGCGCACGCATGCTCGGCACGCGCCACCCCGCCGACCGCGGCCAGCTCGGCTGCGCACTGCTACCGTTCAGACGCCCCCCGCCCCCTCCCCCAACCCGCCCCTGCGCCGCTGCTGCCGCTGGAATGTGGTCGAATGTGGCCGGAATGTACGCGTGCTGGCGGCGGCCGCTCATCGGCCCGTCAGACCGAGACACGCGTGCCGACAGCGGCCGCGGCCCCCGGTGTTATCGCACCGTCAGCCGAGGCGCCGCGCCGACCCGTCTGCTCCGCTGAAGCCGTCCACACCGCTGGCCCGCGGTCTGGTTCGCTGGCCTGGTCTGGTTTGGCCCGACCCGCTGGTCTGATGATTCATTTTCCGCTAGTTTGTTTGTTTGTTGTTTATTTTCGATTATGGACAGGAAGCAGCAGATGACATGATGAGTGAATTGGCGCAAAAGCTGAACGCTTAAATCTGAGCGCCTATCCAAACAACAACAAAATAAAGTCATCGACGCCAGGGAACCCATGACCCACCCCCACTCGTCCGATCTGCATGCTGGTCTGGTCTGCTTGTCTGGTCAGGTGGTTTTCTGGTCTGGCTCACTGGTCTGGTTTGTTGGTCTGGCGTGCTGGTGTGCTGGTATGGTCTGTTGGCCCGGTCTGCTGGTCTGGTGTACTGGTCTGCCGGTCTGGTCCGCCGGTCTGGTCTGCCGGTCTGTTTATCTGGTCTGCTGGTTTGATGGCCTGGTCTGCTGGTCTGGTCTGCTGGCCTGCTGATCTGATAAGCTTGTCTCGTCGGCCCTTTAGCTGGTTCAAACGCGCAGCTTCATCTGCATGGTTTCGTCGGTCGTTTTCGATGAAGAGATTCCACAAACACCAGAGCTCGATCAGGTCCCACCACAGCCGGAAATGTGCCGGGCCTGTCTCATTTTGTCTCCCAGTGCTGGGGCTCCGGATGTGTCGGTCTTCCCGGAACATTACCATAATGTTCTAACCCCACCTATCGAGTTATGAATGGCCGAGAAACGGTGACCTGTGGCAACTATACACCACAGTGCTAATGTGTGCCGTGCCATGCCACTGTGGCTTGGTCGCTGAATGACAGTGGCTACTCGCCGACGGACTCCAGTGTGTTATCCTTTATTGCACCATTCATTGCGACTGCACGCAACTTCCAGGCGGTTGACATGGAATAGCATGGAATGTTCTGTTCAAGATTGACCGTCTATTCCGTCAATTCTCTGGCGGCTCACCTATCGGCAGCGGTCCGCTCCACATACGCCACCCCGTGGCGTGTTCCAGTGGTCCGGTCCGGTGGTCCGGTCCGATGGTCCGGCCCGTTGAACCGGTCTAATGGTCCGGTCTGGTGGTCCGGTCCGGTGATCTAGATCAGTAATCAGGTCCGATGGTCCGGTCTGGTGGTCCGGTTTGGTAGTCCGGTCCGGTGGTCCGGCCCGGTGGTCCGGTCTAGTGATCCGGTCTGGTGGTCCGGTCCGGCGATCCAGTTCAGTAATCAGGTCCGGTGGTCCGGTCTGGTGGTCCGGTCCGGTGGTCCGGTCCAGTCACCGTCACCCATCTGGCCTCACAGGCCACCGGCGTGGCGTCAGGCGAGCCATAGCCAGCAGTGTCAGGGGACCTCCGTCAGCGCTATCGGAACCATCAGCCGGCCGGCCGTCCTATATGGCCAGCTCGGCGGCGCTCAACGTGTGACGAGGCCGGCGCCGCGGGGGCGGCCCAGCTTCCAGGAGAACTGTCCACTGGGCAGTGGCCCCAGACTTCCTGGAGGCTCTCCGCGCGGAAGCATTGCTTTGCTGATGTCATGGAGAAGGTCAGGGAGCAGGGGTGACTCCTGACCCCAAGACGGGGGCGGTGATTATGGCTGTTGCTTCTTGATGCATGCTCTGATTGTATAAGATGCAATGGGATGAACTAGTTCTCAGGTATCCAGGAGAGCTCATAGCAGTACAGAGAGATCGATGCCTTGTCTCTTCGGTGGACAATCACTCTGCAGCGACTTTGAGTGGCCTAAGAGAGCACGCCACCTGCAAGATTAAAGACAAATCTACCCAGAGCTTCGCACCGGCCGGCCCGGCCCGTCTCAGGGTGTGATTTGCCCCGGTCTCCCGAGACACACATCCTGACGGGAACTTATCTGACACCAGCCATTCACCTGCCTTCGTGCCGGTATTTCATCTGACATGGCCGGCTCCCGCGACGCGGTCTGCCGGCGAGGTGTCCAGTCGGAGGCCTCCGCCGCTGAGCGCCGCGCCACCCGTGTCTGGAATGCCCCCGGTGGCGCATCTGTCACCTGACCGTGCCGCCGGCCGGGCGGCGGGCACCGCCTCCAATCTCACACCGCCGATTTAGGGTGGCAGCCGCGGCCCAAACAAGCCGATTTACATAATGGTCGAGACGTTTTACCGTAATGGGCTAGTCTTGAGATCGGCATCCGCTCGCGCGCCGCGCGGCGACTCCAAACACGGTCGGCTGTCGCAGCGACGGCGGCGGCGGCGGCGGCGTCTCTGTCGTCCCGCTGTCTGCCGGCGGCACGCGCCAGCCGGGCCGGCGCCGTCACCCCGGCCGACAATAGGCCACGTGAGTGGACCACCTGATCCCGATCAGGCGGCCAGCCGGGATGGATGCCGCGGCCCGGCGCGTGCCGCTCTCCGGGACGGCGCGCGCCGCTGCGCCGCCTCAGGAGTCGCCGCCCGGGCGTCATCGGCCCGGCGCGCCAGACGAGCGCAGCTCGTCACTGCGGCCCACCGACATCGCCGAAATCCGGCCGTGCCCAGCATGGTGACGGATTAAGGAGCTGGACGTTCCCTCGGGCTGCTCACTGGCTCAGATGCGGAGCTGGTTCGAGCCGCAGCCGGGCCACACGCGTCACGGGGCTCCGCGCGGGCGGGTGCGCTGCTCGCCGCGCCGCCTGCGTCCGGTGCGTGCGTGCGATGCGGGCTCACCCGTACATTATTGCAAAGTAATTTGACCGGTCACGTCACGTTTCACGTACGGCTCCGAACAACCGTATCGTATTCACCACGGTATGCTGGATATCCCGCGCCCCACTCGCATTTGGTGCCCGTCCTGCGGCAAATGCTGTAACCATTCATCAGCTGAAGCATGACAGCTATCGGACGTTGGCGCATACTCTCTCTGCCGAAGCACGACCGGCCGTGGGACCATTTGGCAAGCCGTTTCACACGCCTGAGACGGACGCTGATGTCCCTGCTCTGCCAACGTTGTGAGGCGAGGGAACATCGCGCTGTTCGGCCGCCGCCCGCCGCACCCGCCGCAGGCCGTGACCCGTCCTGAGGTCCGAGGTCAGCGGGGTCTGGGGAGCGGCGGCGCCTCTGACCTGACCCCGGCTGCCGGCGCCCGCCGCGCCCGCCGCCGGCCGCGGCTGCTGTCGGGGCCCGGGCGTTGTGTCAGACACAGGTGCCCCAGGGCGGTGACCTGACACACTGTTGGTGACGGGTCTGCTGTTGCTGCCCAACACCACACGGGTCTGCTGTGCTGCCCAGCTCCCCCGGGCGGGACTGCAGCAGTCTGGGCTGGTGCTGATCCTCGTATTCAGCGCAACCCAACGACGCTTTGCACGTCAGTACGGGGATTAGTATCGGTTTATGCGACGGTCACCTTGACGGCCTCGGCCGTGTTCGCCGCGTGGGCCACGCATATGCGAGCTCGGGAAATGTTTTCGAGTGGGATCAAAACTAATTGTTCCCAAACAGTAAAGAAGTCCCCTATAATGTTTTAGTTTACGAAGGGTCTGTAGCATGATTCACTGATTGTCCATTTCATCACATCCCTGCCAGCACTTTGGACGACAGGTTGTAACACGCAGCAACACTTTCGGGATGCCGACATTCCACTGCCCGACGACTCCTGGCGCAAACGTACATCGCACAGACTCGTGCTGGGACATTAATTACAAACGGTACATTGGTCGACGCCTTGAAGCTGGCTTCGTGCCTCCTCTCGCTCTGGTCGTCGGAATATCGGGATATAGCATGCAACGTGAAATTCTTTTTAAAAAAACTGGGAAAATCAACCTTGACCACTTCTGTGCGCGTGGCACGTGGCACGCGAAAAACCCACATCAAGCACCAAGAGACCCCCCAGTCCATCTCCTACCATGACGTGCCATTCTCTTGCCGCTTAGAACCGTGCTTGCCGAGATGCCTGTCTCGCCTGGCTGCTCGAGTATTTCACGTGCGTCACATTTTCCCTCCACCCGTGCAAAGCCAATGCGCCAAAATGCCACCCTGCAGCACGTGGCCCGTGCCGCCGGCCGGCCACATCCCCACGAAACTTGCCACAGCACGTGGCCCGTGCCGCCGGCCGGCCACATCCCCACGAAACTTGCCACAGCACGTGGCCCGTGCCGCCGGCCGGCCACATCCCCACGAAACTTGCCACAGCACGTGGCCCCGTGCCCAGGCGCATCGTGTCCAAGTTTCACTATTCAGCGACCCGCTGCTCGGCCCGGGCTCAAAGGAACGCGAAACGAGGCAGACGGACAGCCAGACAGCCAGACAGCCAGCTAGACAGACACGCCCTAAACAAATGGCATCTATATTTTAGCTTGAAATGGGGCACGCGCCACGTCACGTGCTTGTTTCGCAACAGTTAAACGGACTTTATGTTTGGAATGCAGCTCGTTATAATTCACCCTGGTCGGCACCACACCCTGAAAGACGTAATATTCCGAAATTGGCTGAAATGTCAGAAACATGTTTTCAACTGACACTGGTAATATTGATGGTGCGAATGGTTATGAAATCCACATCCTCCATGGCTCACCTGCATTGAATGAGATCGACCAGCTAATACATGGCTCAAAGGCCATTTCAATTAATGTGCCCAGCTCTTGCTATCATAATATCATTATGTTGGAAATTTGATGCTGACAAAGACCGTGTTCGAAGTGCACCCATTAGTCGAATGCAATCACAATAATGTTACAAATGGAATATTTCGATCATGGAACTCGTCCCGGTGCCGACGCTATTTCATTCTAGCTTCCTTTCGCCCCCACTCACCCATTCAAGGCATGAAGCACACAATTCAGTGCATTTACGGGCTGGCTGTACCTGCATCTCAATGTGATAGACGCGTATCGAGCTCATATTTTATTCATATGCATTGGCAATTTACCCAATCAAGCTTGAAACGGGGCTGAACCCGTTTACCTGCCATCTGTCGTCTGTGCCGTAAGCTTAAGTTGTTCGTTTGTCCGCAGCACATCGGCTGTGACGGAGTCGTCGGCTCCGGCCGCGTGCTGGATGCCTGCGGCGAGTGCGGTGGCAACAACAGCACGTGCCAAATTATCTCAGGCATCTTCACCGAGCCGTACCTGGAGGCTGGCTACCGCCTGGTGGTGCAAATCCCGGCGGGGGCCTGCACCATCCGCATCGAGGAGCTGGGAGCCACGAAAAACTACCTCGGTACGCACCGGCCGTGTCCCCCTCCCCCCATGCTCCCACGTCCGGCGGGCAACAGTCAGCATCACAGCTGCCGCGCTCCATGGGCCCGCGAGCCGGCGCTACGAGATTAGTATCGTGTTTGATGGGGCGCCGGATTTGAGAAGACAGCTCAACGGGCCCTGTGTGAGGGACGAGTTGGCTGGGCTTCGCGGCACATATGGGCCACGTGCTACCTGACCGCGGCCTGGCCCCCGCGGTGTTTGTGGCTTGAGCCGCTGCACTGACGTGACCAGAGAGTTCGCGGTCCGGCCCGACATATGCTTCCTTTGATCTTTCAAGGCTCAGTCCTGTTGATCGATCGTTCTTATAATCAGTCATTACGGTTCTCAGCTCGTTGAGTGCCCATGGAGCGCGTTGTAACACCACGCCATTACGGCACTGAAACAGTTCAGCATTCTCAGTCTGCGTGCTCTGACTCCTCGCACGCACGCTGTCAGCTCTGCGCGACAGCAAGGGGAAGTTTATCATCAATGGCGACTGGAACATCGACATGTCGGGCTCGTATGGCGGCGCCGGTGCCAGCTTCGCCTACCAGCGCCAGCCGGCCCGCGGCGAGCTCATCTCCGCCCAGGGACCAATCACAGAACCCGTCGACATCTTTGTGAGTCTTGCCGACGACCTTGGCATGGAACGGTCTGGGCGCTCTGATTCGCTGCCTCCTGATATTTAACGTCTTCTTCTGGTACGGCTATCAGAGTCGTTCTGGGAGAGTAAAGACTCTGCTAACTTGGGCTTGATAAGACTGGAAATCGCTGCGTATCTTGCCAGCATGACGAAGTCGCAGCTCTTTGTCGGTATAAACGCGAGCTTTTCACACTCCAGCTAGTTGAGGCCACATGCTTACGTTGTCAACGCAAAGGAAGTGACCACCTTTTCATTATGCCTAGAGGAGACATCCTTTTTTGCGCAATCATTCCATTCGTATTCTCACCAGGTCCGTCCACACAACCTCGCCTCCGCTGATAGATTTCAACAGCGGCCGCCTGAACTAAAAACTGGGTGACCTAAAAAAGAAAGCGCCCCCTCCTCTCCATCACCCATAGCGTGGCGCGCATACTGACCGCCCTGCCGCGTCAGATCCTGTACCGGCAGGCCAACCGCGGCATCAAGTACGAGTACGCCATCAAGCGGAACGCGTCGCTGACGTCGGTGCTGCCGCGGCTGCCGACGGACACGGGCGTGGCCCAGGTGCCGCCGCTGGCTGACACCCTGCTGAGGCGGCCGGCTGACCAGCCGCGGCCCAGAGACACCGCCAGGGCCCGCCCGGCCGGTGAGGGGGGTTCCGTGCCGGGTAGGGATCAGTCGGGAGCGCCGATGATGAGTCGGTGGCCAAGGGGATCGAGGTAATGACGGCGGGGGAGAGAGATATTGAGGTGAAGGCCGGGGCAGAATCCGCGCTGTATCCACCGCCGTAACTCTGAATTATGGAACTTCCCTTCCACTCAGCCTGTATTCCCGCTTGTGTGCCTAACCCGCTCCCCTCTACCTCTAACCGTGTACGGCGCTGCACTCGACCCGCTTCCCGGCGGCTGGCTAGTCACACGCCAGTGGACTTCCACGGCATTCCTCCATCTTTGAAAGCCGTGGGTGCGGTGGATCGCACCTGACCTGCTCTGACCCGACCTGACCCGACTTGCCGCGCGCAGGCGGGTTCGTCTCGCCGCTGTACCAGTCGTCGCAGGCCGGCAGCGCGGTGCCGTTCCCGCGCCCGGGAGCGGAGCACGCCGGCCACAAGCGGCACCGGCGCCGCCGCCGCCGCCGCCGCCGCTTCCAGTGGGTCGTCACCGGCTACACCGAGTGCAGCAAGTCCTGCGGCGGGGGTGAGCTCGGCGCCGACGAGGCCCGCGCTCGAGGGGCGGGGAGGAGGCGACGCTGGCGATGGCCTGGCCGTGGGTGTGAGATGACGCAAGACCACGGCCGAGCGCGTGGCCAGACCTGTTTACCTTCGAATTGAATCAAACTGAATATTTATGACATCGAAAAAGGGTTTGCTTGCCGCTTGCAGGTTGTTTTTAGACGATGCGTCAGAGCTGACTCACAGCGTTGGGATTAACCCGGTTGCAGGGGAAAGTGCGATTTAATGAACGCAGTGGCGCCTCATGTGAACAGCAGAAATATATATTTATGACGACTGACAAATCCAGCGGCTCTGGCCTCTGTGAGGGACATAACCGATGAGCCATTCGTCTTCACCCGCAGGCACCAGGACCACGGAAGTGGTGTGCATGAAGAGGAAGCGGAAGCAGCTGGCGCCGGACCGGCACTGTGACGCGGCCAGCCGACCACAGCCAAGCACAGCCAGCTGCAACACCAGCCCCTGCCCAGCCAGGTGAGGCGAACACGGCGTCACCGAACCCGACAGAACACAGGCAGCCGGCCGACCGCAGCCACGCACAGCCGGCTGCGACACCAGTCCATGCCCGGCCAGGTGAGATGAACACGGCGTCACCGAACCGACGGAACACAGGCAGAAGACGCCATAGTACCTCACAACAACGAGCCGCGAATGAGGAGGGTGGAGGCGGACAGAGGACCATGGGTAGGGCAATCAGATGGGGTACGCAAGGTTTTGTGTTCCCAAGTGGTGTAGACGGAAGGCAAGAATAGGGTGTTGATGATGATGAACTCGACACCGAATATTATCAAAACTGGAGGCGGGCTTGCGACGACCTCATCGAAATGTCAGACTACCGAGAGTCGCAGCAGGTTGTGGATGCAGACCCGGTGACACCCTCAAGCGCCAGACGCGTCTCGCTGCCTGGGAGTGTTCTGACCCCCGTTGATACTCAGGTCGGAGCCAGACGTACCTCGCTGGCTGGGAGTGTTCTGATCCCCGTTGCTCCTCAGGTGGGAGCCGGGCGCCTGGTCGGCGTGCAGCGTCACGTGCGGCTCGGGCCGACAAACACGCTCTCTGCGCTGCGTCAGCGACGGTCAGCAGGTGGCGCCCTCTCTGTGCCCGGGCGAGCCGCCGGCGCCCGAGAGCCAGACCTGCCTGATGGCGCCGTGCCCGGTCGGCCTCTGGCAGATCGGCGCCTGGAGTCCGGTGAGTCGGCTGTTGAGTCCGGCGAGTCGTGGCGCCAGGAATCCGGTGAGTCGGCTGTTCTGAAGAGGCAGCGGTGACGAGTCCGGAGCCCGATGGGTCTTCTGGCCTGGATTCCGGTGAGTCCTGGCTCCTGGAGTCCGGTGATTCGGCTGTCCTGGAAAAGCAGCGGCGAGTCCGGGGTCCAGTGGGTCGTGTGGCCTGGCGTCCAGCGATGCCTGTGGCTCAGCGCCCATGGGGCCATATAGCCTGGAGCCTAATGGTTTGGACGTCCTGGAGTCCGGCAAGTCGTGGTGCCTGGAGTCCATTGAGTCATGTGGCTTTGAGTCGGGGAGTTGTGTGGCATGGAGTTCAGCTAGTCGTGACGGCCGCCCGGGGTCCGGCGAGGATATTGTGATGACGTCACGTCACGTGTAACGAGATTGTGCTCTGCTGTCTGACGGCTGACTACCGTTTTACTTTGATTGAGCTTCGACTGAGCTCCCGATGTCCAGCCTATGCCCAGGGCCATTGTCTGTACGATGAGTCAGATCCAATATTTTCGGATTCGAAAAATCATCGCAAAACATAATGCCATGACTCACCGGCATAGCTGGCACTTGCAAACTTCAAAGCGCGCGCCACACATGTAATAGGCACACCGGCCGGGCGGTGGCGCCGCTGAAGGGAGGCCGCGCCGCCTACCCGGCGCCGCTGACAGCGCCCCTGGCGGCAGTGTTCGGTGAGCTGCGGCTGGGGCTCGCGGCGGCGCCAGGTGAGCTGCTCGTCGGCCGGCGCCCGCTGCTCGCCGTCCGACCGGCCCCGCGACACGGCCCCCTGCCGGCGGCCCGCCTGCGACGACGACGGCGATGCCACAACCAACGACGCCGACACCGACGGCTGGATGTTCGCCGAGTGGAGCAAACAGGCGAGCGGGCTTAGGCCGGGTATAAGCCTTCTAAGCTATGTTCGTCTCATTCCGTAATATATCTGTACGCTCTTTATGGCTCATGACTTGAATTCATTAGTTGAGGTTGTGTTTTGCAGAGCCGGGGTGAGATAGACTAAAAAATAGCAATCAATTTTTGGAACATCGCAATGGTTTGGACACCCCATGATGCGGATTAAATCCCTATATGTTTTCCACGAACAGCGAAGTCAAACGCTTGTCATGAAACCGTTTTATATATCTTTTTGCCAATGCCGGTATTCCGCAGATTGTCGAATTTGCGACGAAGAAAGGCATAAGAAAACCAGTTGTGTTTGCCCGAAGAGAGCATTATGCTCGTAAAATATTCCGTTACTTCAGCCTCTCCAACTCCCATAGCGCAGAACCAGCGGTCGCTGTGCAGCTTGCAACATTGCTGATGACACTTTGCCTGGCTGGAAATCTCCGCAGTCTGACGAGACCGCTCTAGAGCCCACTGACCTACCGCGAACACAGCGCTCGCCATCGCCTCGCGCGTGACCGTCGCGCCTGCCGCAGTGTTCGGTGGAGTGCGGCCAGGGCGTGCAGTGGCGCCAGGTGACGTGTGGAGGCAACTGTGACGCCCAACGGCGGCCCGAGGAGACGCGGCCCTGCAAGACGGACCGCCGCTGCGCCGGCACCTGGTTCACCGGGCCGTGGAGCAGGGTGAGCCGCGGCGCCGGGGTTCTGGTGCGGGAGCCGGCGGCCGCGCGGCGGCCGGTCGGACGGTGCGGACGTACTGTGGTCGGGGTGTGGGGTTTAAGTATGCGACTCAGCTGCCGTCCAATGGATTCTACTGCGATCCAAATCCGCGGCATCGCTTCTCCGAGTGGTGTGCTCTGTAGTCTAGTGTTCCAGTGCTCTGAACAGTGCTGTGTTCTGCCTTTGTTTCTGCACCGGGTGTTGCGATTTTCCGACAGCGACGGCTGCCGTACTTCAGTACCGGATGACGGCCTTGATTCAGTTCTCTGCGCTGCTGCATTTTAGCACCGCGTTTGACCGCGTCCGGTAAGTACCGTGCGATCCCCACAGCAGATGATTTCAGTACTCGGTGCCCTCCGGTCACCCCGCCTCCACCCTCCCCCCTCCCTGGTACGCAGTGCGCCACCTCACGAGACCCTGGTGGGCGTGTTTCAGTGCTCTCACGAGTGCGGCGCCGGCGTGCAGACGCGCTCCGTCGCCTGCGTCCGCTCCAACGGCGGCCAGTTCTCGGTGGTGGAGGAGGCGGCGTGCGGCGGCGCGGCGCGGCCGGCCGCCGAGCAGCCGTGCGGCGGTGACGCCTGCGCCGCCCGCTGGCACGGCTCCGAGTGGGCCGCCTGCTCGGCCTCGTGCGGCGCCGGCTGGCAGAGCCGAGCCGTCGCCTGCCTGGCGGCCGACGGCGCGCCGCAGTCGTCCTGCCCGGGCGCCGAGCAGCCGGAGCGCCGCCGCTCCTGCCTGCTGGCTGACTGTCCCCGCCACGGTACGGACCCGGCGCAAGCCGCCAGCCCGCGCCGCTGCACCCCATGGCCGGCAGGGATGTGGGTGGTGCCGTTTATCTGTCCCACTGAACTGCGTGAGGTATTCAATGCCGACATCTGTTGGTGCGTTTAGGAGGTGTTGTTCTTCGGAGTGTAAAGTGGACGCCGCTCCTTTCCTTTAGGAGGTCTTGTTCTTCGGAGTGTGAATTGGACGTTGATTCTTTGAGCTCCATTGTCGGCCCGGCCAGTCCTTGGTCATGTGTTGCGCTCTCTCTGCACAGCCGCACGCATATGCCAACGCCTCCCTTTGCTGTGTTGAACTCCACCCTTCCGGACAGTGCACAGCCACCATATAAATGCATCCACACCCCGCGTAAAGCTTGCACGTTCAAGGCACATCCATCGCATCCTTCTGCTTATTTCACTGTGAATATCACTGCGTCGTAGCAAACTTTCTGAACGATGTCCAAATTCTAACTAATTAAACAAATTCACTTTCATGGCTAAAGCGTGCAGTGAGCTCGTGCCTTGTGTATACGGACAGCTTTTTCGTGTTCACGCGTCACTTGCTTTGTTGTTGTGTTCAGCTTGATGTACATATGCAGCCCGGCAAGGTGTTCGCTACCTTCGCTTGGTGCGTGGCGCTTGACTGTCCGCTTGTGTCTTCTTTAGTCTCCTCCACTGAAGGCCTCGACAACCAGACGACGCGGGTGAACGCTGTCGACACCGAAGTCAACGCGATACCGCGCGTCAACGATGAGAACTTCTCGTTTACCCCGACGCCGTCGGATGGCGCCGTCGGCGCCGGCTCGGACGCGACCTCGACCGAGCTACAGGACGTGGCGAACAGCATCGCGCACGACCGGCCGGCGCGCCCCGACAACCGGCTGGAGCCGGCGGCCGGTCCGCCGACGCCCCCGCTAACGGCCACCCCCACCGCCGCAGAGGTCACCCCCGCCGCCGCGGAGGTCACCCCCGCCGCCGCGGAGGTCACCCCTCCCGTGGCGTCACCCAGCGTGGCGCGGCCAGCTGGCCGGCGCCTGCGGCCGCGCCAGCGCAAGCACCGCAAGCACCGGCAGCGGGCGGCCGGCGACCAGCAGCACAGGAGCCAGCAGGCCGGCGGCGCCGCGCCGGCGGCGACCGCAGGTGGGCGCTGTGTGACGTCAGGGTAGATTGAGGATGGATTCGGGGGGGGGGGGGGGGCGGACGGACCTAAGGCTTTGACGACGCACGGAAGACAGCACTGACCAGTCGTCGCTGTTAGCGCTCGCTACAGACTGGTAGGCATAGAAAGGTATGGCTGAGAACGTGATTTTTGGCGGTGTTCTGTACGTCAGCATGATGCGTATGTGGCAAGATTGCGTACTTAACAGGGCGAGGCGGGCGATCCACAGTCTGTCGGCAGGGCGTTCTGTGCCGCTACCCCATGCACTGACCGCCTTCTCTTCACAGGCTCCTGCACGGATCGGTTCAACAACTGCCTGCTAGTGCAGCAGGCACGACTCTGCAAGTATAAATACTACAGAAACGCTTGCTGCGCCACTTGCAAGCGGGGCAAGGGCACCTGAGGTGGCGACAGCGCGGCCTGCGATAATAGTGACACACTGCCATCTAGCGAGCGGCCAGCGAGGCTCGCCCGGGTGCGGGGCCGGCCGGCCGGCGGAGAGACTCTCGGTCGAGAGCAGGCTGACACGGCCGGTCAAAGGATCGCGTGTGGGCCGGGCCTCGGACGCGGTCCGACCCGCGGAGCGAAGGACCGCCGAGGCTCGGTCTGACCCGCGCCGCGGCCCGGGTCAGACAGGCTGTCGCCGGTGTCAGACGGCGCCAGCGGGCTGCTACCGGCGCCAGTGGGCTGTCACCGGCGCCAGCGGGCTGCCACCCGTGCCAGCGTGATGCTGCCGGCGCCAGCGGGCTGTCACCGGCGCCAGCGGGCTGCTACCGGCGCCAGATAGGCCGCTGCCGGCGCCAGCGGGCTGCCACCTGGCGCCAGATAGGCTGCTGCCGGCGCCAGCGGGCTGCCACCAGCGCGACGGGCGCCACCGCCGCCCTTCCGTGTAGTGCAGTGGTGGGGGCCGTCTGAGGATGGACCACTAACCACCCGCTTCTAGAGGAGCTCGCCGTTTTCAGCCGAAGGCGCATGGTTTGTGGGACGTAGCCGGCGCGCGTGACGCGGCGCGTGCTTCTCCCACTTACGCCTTGTCTCGAGTGAAACTCCAGCTTGGGCGCCCGGCCCTAACACGGATACATTATTTAAGCGAACGGCCGCAACCCATTCTAGTTCACTGTTCTAGTTCAACTGCGTCTGAAGGGCTCAGTAGGCAAAATAAAACCGCATTTGGTAACCCGCCTACATTAGAAATGTGTGGGGTCGCCGCCGCGTTGGGGGTCACTCCTTGTGTCAGTCAGTTAGTCCGATTACGACGCGTCGTACAGCCCGGTGAATGACCGAACCGACGCAACGAACCGGGAAGCACGACAGCGGCTCGGACGGAGGCAGCTCACTGGTCTCTGCTCTTCCGCATCGGCCGCTGCTATCCCGAAACAAGCACCGAAATCGAATCATGAACGTATATTGGCAACGTTGACGGAAGGCCGAGTAGGGAGCACCCACAGGAGGCGGGACGTTGGCGGGAGCGAGGGCTGAGACTGAGACTGGGACAGGCAGGAGAGGCGGACGGCAGTCTGCCGGCCGGCGGCGCCGCTGACGGCAGCAGACCACGGCCCGAGCGGAGGCTGACCGGTCCCCGTACCCCGTGTCGTCCCCGCCCCTGCCTCGGTCGACCGGCCCCGACCGGTCCAGGTGGCCGGGACGCCGGCCGCGCTCACACCCTCCGCGCAGCCAGGTCCGAGCCGTCCCAGCGACCGGGTCTCCGACGACCGCGTAACGGAGCAAACACAACGCCAAACTCGCCAGCGGCCGCGGCCGGGTCGGCACGGAACGGCGGGAGCGGCGGGCCGCGGCGGCCGGTCGGCTGCGCGCGCGGCGCCGGTCTGGAGGGTCGGGGCACGGGTCACCACCCGTTGACCCGAGGGGGCGGGTCGCACTGACAACACGCATCACAGACAGCGGGACAGCCCTCATGGACGGAGATACGCCTACCACGGAAGCCTCATCAACGCCACGAAACTGAACACACCCACGCAATCGTATCACATGGATCACGCCGCGTTCAGTTGCACAACCGGATTAAAGAAAAGCCCACAACCGTACGCAGTGGAAAAAATCACGTGGTGCATATATTTTGGCTGTTAGATTGGTCAGTAATATCTCGTCTATGATGACGTCGCTACATTTCTGGCAGCGCGTCTACCCGGCTGATTTGTTATTAAATCGCGAAACCAAGGAAGCCCACCGTGAGTTGCAGCAGCGACATTTGCAGCTCCGAGTCCAGCTCGGGATTATTGCCAGCGAGGTAGTATCCGCACCAACAGGTCGTTAAACACGCAACACAAATCACGTCCAGCTGTTAACGAGGGCCAGCAGATATGAAAACAGCCAAACAACGTAGGCAGTGTTACGTACACCCCCAAGCGCCCGTATTTGGCAACTACCGCCACCGGTCACGTCGAACCTCTAGACGCTTGACACCGCTCCGCTAACTGCGTGATCAAGACGAAACAACGGTTCAGTTATCACCACTCTAGGGCACACCAAGTCCGACGGTATTACAGATGGCGTGGAATGGCAGCGTGTCGTCCCCGGGGTGGCGCGCCCGGCACCAGCCGTGACCCTGCGTCGGCGGACCGGCCGCGAGCCGACGGGGCGGGCGGCGCCGTCCCGCCTCGGGGCGCGCTCGGCGTCCGCTCTCCGGACTCGGCGGGCCCGGCGGACTGGGCGGGCCCGGCGGACTGGGCGGGCCCCGGCCCAGGGGCGGATCAGGTCAGTGACGTCACCGTGCTCGAGGTGACGTCGTCGGTGTCGTCATCCGACTCGGTGACGTCGGAGTTGGTGGCAGAACTCATGGCAAATTCCCTTTCGAAATCCTCCTGCGGCCTCCACCTGGAACACCAGCGTGGCAGTGAACGTGTCCCACCGGACAGGAGGCGTGACTCCACAGCGATGCGCGGCAACGCGGTGTACACACGATCGCAACCAAAACTGATAACAACACGCAAACAACTTCTCTTTAGGCGCAGCAGTGCAGACCATCAAACTGCAATAGATGCCTCACGCACTGACCCGAGCAACGACTGAGTCTATCCGTTATCACCAGACGCCAAGTGCGTGCAACGCGACACGCCGGCAGCGGCAGCGCGCCGCGCCGGACCGGTACGGACCAGTAGGTGCTCCTGGCCCGCTCCAGGGCGGCCAGGTCGCCCGGCACCGACACCAGGTGCAGCGCCACCGCCAGCCGAGCGCCCGTCTCCTGCAGCTGCTGCGTCGACAGGTGGCACCCCTGTCGCGTCCGGCGCCGCAGTCAGACCAGCGCGGACAGCACGCGGACACGAGGACGGGGCGCTACTGACACCTGGTGACGACTGCTGGGGAGGACGGCGGGGGCGACACTGACCCGTCGCCGTCACACAGCGCTACTGACACCTGGTGACGACTGCAGGAGATGAAGGGTGACACTGGTGCAGGTGGTCATGTCCAGAACACAATGTGGACAGTGGCGACACCCAGCGGCCTGAGCAGCGCTGGACTGGTTGTGCAGCGAGGCGCGAACGTTAACGACCGAGTGGTGGCACGTGGGGAAAACAAACGGTGCGTCGCTCATGGAGGATGCACGCACATGTTCACTGCCGTACACAAAATCACGGGAACTAGGGACAAGTGATGACAACTCCAGACACCCAGCACTGCCGACGACAACAGAATTCAATCACGTCGGTCAAACACCTTCCACACTTTCCCCGTCGGTGCGGCCGGTCGGGCCGGGCCCTGCCGGGTCAGGGCCGACAGGAGAGCATGCGGGCGCCACGGTCGCCGCCGACCGGTCCGTCACCTGGTACGGCCCCTGGTCGCAGCCGCAGTAGCTGCTCTCCATGGTGTAGCTGCGCTGCACGCCCAGCTCGCGCCAGACCACCACGCGAGCCGTGGTCTCGCGCGACCGCTCCACCGTCAGATGGCAGCACCGTAGACTGAAGGCGGGCGCCACCCGGTACAGCGCCTGGCAGAGAGCCGGAGTCACGGTACAGTGACTGGCAAACTGCCGGGGTCATGGTACAGTGTCTGGCAGAGGGCCGAGGTCACTGCACAGCGTGTGGTACAGCGGCAGTTTAAGTCCCGCCAGAGGGACGGGCCCCGTTTTACCACCTGCCACGGAAAAAGCTACAGGAGGCAGTGCACGAAAATTAACTTGATACATATCTCGAGATAGGCAGGGTACAACACCTAACACTCCGACGTACCGGACGCCGCTTTCGCACAGGTAGAGCACGTTCCTTCATGCGGCCCGGATACGACGCCTGAGACAGCGTAGAGCGTAAAGGCCATCCCAATCACGCCTACCCAAGTTTGCCACGTCGTCCCGTCCCCGACGGCTGGACGGCACCACCAGCGCCGTACTCCGCCGGCTGCTGGGCGGCGTCCCCACCCTCGGCCGGACGCCGGCCGGAGCCGAGGCTCACCTGCGGCAGGCAGCTGACCAGCGCGTCGTTGTCGGGCCTCTGCCTGTCGGCCGGCAGCCAGGAGCGCCGGTTGCTGCAGCCGTACAGGAAGATGTTCTTGCGACACGAGTGACCGTGGTAGTCGCAGAAGAGGTACGGCACGCGCTTCAGCACGAACGTCGAGTACTCCATCAGGGTCTGCCGCAGCACACGGCGCTCATGGTTCGCTGCATGTCGCACGCAACGGCAGCAGCGGAGCCGGCCAGCAGCCGACCGTCCATCACTGGGAGCACGCAGACGTCAGCCTGTTGGATCATCTACCGACACATGGAAGTGCTACACCCACCAGCGTCACCACAGGGTGGACGGCCCGGGGGAGGGGGGAAAGGAGGGGAAGGGGAGGGGAGGGAAGGGGAGGGTAGGGGGAGGGAAGGGGAGGGAGGGGAGGGGAGGGAGGGGAGGGGAGGGGAGGGGAGGGGAGGGGAGGGTCTGCCCGTCGACCGACCGGCGGGCTCGGCTGACCTTGGCGCGGTAGATGACGGGGTGCAGCAGCGGGTCGGGCGTTTTCCAGCGCCGGTTCAGGTCCTCGTCCGTCAGGCCGCACCGGTGACTGGCGGTGACGTCACAGCGGCCGGGTCAGGTCAGGGTCAGGTCGGCGAGCTCGTCCAAAAGCCCTCCACAGACATTTCGGCATTCCAACTCTGCACTTCACATCACTGAAAGTCATACTTTACGACGGCGCACCCTGACATCATTAATTTTCACGAATGATAACCACAACTGGCTCCACTTTCCAGCCCCTCCGGCGTGACGGCCCGTTCCGGCTCCGCTCCGGTCGCCTCACCAGCCGTTGACGACGCCGGCGACGTTCAGCATGGGCACCAGCTTGAAGATGAAGCGGTCGCGGAGCGCCTCGGCCTCCGGGGCGGCGCTGAGCAGGAAGCGCAGCGTGCCCTCCATGGCCCAGGAGGCGCCGCTCTCCCCCGGGTGGATCCGCGCCGTCAGGAACACCACCTCCTTCTGCGGCGGCGGGTGGGGGAACACCTTCAGACCGGCGGTGGCGAGGGTCGAGCGGGGGGGGGGAGGGGGGGCTCAAACCGCGGCCGGCTCAGGGCGTGGGTCTGCCCCAGCAGTTGGGAGTGCCGCACGTGCTGAGCCCTCTGCCGAGCCAAATTAGACCCGACGTCACACCACTGACACGATGTCAGGAGAGAAAGCCGGTTAGAAGTCCAACTGCCACGCAGCACTCGACTGGTCTCAGGTCATCACGTCCGCACGACGACGAAACTGCAGAGCGCCGTCACCATCGCCACTCGTCACCGTAGAGACCCGGCAGGTAAGCTGCCTGCCTGCCTGCCGGCCGGGTGGGCGGTGGCTGCCGACCTTGTGCTGCAGCGTCTGGCCGGTGACGGTGACCAGCGGCGCCGGGTTGCCGTCCAGGTCGGCGGCCAGCGGCTCGTTTCGCCACCAGACCTCCGGCTCCACCGCGCCCTCCAGCAGCTCCAGCATGGTCTGCCGGCGGCGAGCACCACCGGTCAAGTCAAACCTCCAGGCGCTCGCAGCTCTCGGGTACTCTAGCGGCACATACAAGCCCTCAAGCTCACCAGCGGAGCCATGTCTTATGTCTCCGAAACGCCAGGTATTCCACTCCTTTTGAACGCGTTGATCGCAAGCATAACCGTAATTTCAAGAAGACTCACACGGCTGAAAGTAACATCTACTACTGTCAGTGCGTACTTTGACTGCTCTTGATGTAAGCCTGAAGTGGACAGAAGCTGCTAGCTTCTTCGTCGTCGTGAAAAACCTGATGATGACTGCATGCACACGTTCTGACGCATTTTTTGGTGGGCTTCTTTCGCGAGGCATGATTCTCTCGTTCCTTTAACACATATTCCCTGTAGCAATGACGTCACTGCTACAGCTCCGCATCACGCACATTCCCCCGTCACGTGACTCCAGCCATAAATGACACTGTATGCGTAGTGATGATCACGGTTTTCAAGGAAGGAATGTCCATATGACGTTATGCCATGTTCATATGACGTCACATGCTATTTCGTCATCGTTCTCTGAAAACATTGCCCAGTCATATGCACTATATCACACTGGCCTCTTCACGCGGCCCTCAAAGGCCTTCGCCACAGCGTCACGCATCCGTAAAAACTTGGGCGCTTACTGTTTGGAAAAGGAACTGCACTCCTTCGATGGCATTGTATAAACAAAATTATACTGACATGGCCGAAAATTCGTCTGGCTGGTGGCATGGACCGCACATTCGACCCTAATGCTAATCAATATTCAGATTGCCCACCTTAACCCATCGCTGCACCGCAACTATCCCGTGCGCCGATACATCCTAACTCCATGTGACCTGATCCAGTGATTTTAACTGTGAAGGACGTATCATCACAAATCCTAAGGAAAATTCAGACAAAGTCTGTGCACTGGAAAACGTCTAAGCCACCCAGCGTAGCTGCCAGATCAAGAACCAATGCGGTATATCCTGCCTTGTCATCTCCAAGTACTTTCGACCTGCCATTCGTTGGTGACGCACTTGACAAGTTCATGACCCGTACATTTCCCGCGTTCGCTTATCGCCCACAACACATCCCAGTACCCACCACGTGACAGCGAACACTGCGACGACGCGCTGGTGACCTCAGTCAGCGAGGAGGCCGACCAATGAGCGCCGCCTCGCACCGGCCACAGCAGCCGACGTCGGACCCATCCCCGCACCTCCCCGCCCCTCCAGCCGGGACCGCGGGGCGCCCCCGCGGCGTCCCCCGCAGCGGCAGGACCGGCGGCGGGCCGGCGCGCCCACCTGCAGCCTGGTGTAGGTGTACGGGTAGTGGAAGGCCAGGTAGCACACGTCGCCGGTGTGCGGGAACGTCACCGTGAAGGAGGCCGTGCAGTAGACGCGCTGCTTGCCCTGGACAGGCGACGACACGCGGGTCAGACGGGTCTCCGAGCCGCCGTGCTCAGAAGACGGACAGCACGCCGGCGCTGCCCATGCGCCGTGGTCTCGTGCAAACAAAACAACATCCGACCCGCACAGACCAGACGTTCAGCTGCCTAACCTGTCACGATATTCTGATTCATACGCTATGCGTGGATAGACGAGACGAGAACTTGTTACATCCAGCTCTGGAGACAAAACACAACAGAGTCTAAGTTATATGAGATGACTGCTGCGGGCTACCAGCCTGGCCCCCCAACAAGACCCAGATCTCCGTTGGACCAGCGGCACAACAACGGTCCGGTAGAGGCTACGGCCGCCGGTATGCACCCGTCTGTGGCCGCACCAGAAGGCCCGCCGGCCACCTCCGCACCTGCTGCCGCTTGCTGGGGTGCCGGGCCGGCCGGCGGTAGGCGTTGCGGTAGTAGAAGACGTCGGTGCCGACGCGCACCCAGTGAGGCCGGCCCCGGACCGCCTCCTTCACCGAGAACAGCACCGGCCGCATTCCTGCAACACCAGCCGCCGCTGGAGTACTACGCCGCCGGGGCGCCGCCGCCAGCCGGCTGCCTCCGCTGCTACCGAGCGCCAGGACCCCGACTACGCCGCCGGGGCGCCGCCGCCAGCCGGCGCTGCCTCCGCTGCTACCGAGCGCCAGGACCCGACTACGCCGCCGGGGCGCCGCCGCCAGCCGGCTGCCTCCGCTGCTACCGAGCGCCAGGACCCGACTACGAGCGCGCGTGTGGCGTGGCTCGCCATGGCGTGTGACGCCATGGTAAGAGCTCAAAGCTTACACGACAGCTGGGAATCATTCGCCCACAAAGTCTCTTCACTGACTTGCATTCTGCGACCATGCTTCTGAAGTATTAACGCGTCGTTCATGAGTCAGTAGAATGCATTTTGACAACAAGGTTGAAGCATACACTCATGTTTAACTCACACCGATAGAGATAAGGCACGCACGCCTGCAAGGGGCTGCCACAACGTGCATCTAACGTGCACGTATCTATACAGCCACTCAAAGCAACACAAAGCGCTCCGACCGCTTTCCCGGTCCACAACGCTCTTCCCACTCTCAACGCTATCTCTCCCCCCCCCCTACACACACACCGGGCCCCGACAACTCCCTTGATTCCCCTCCCACTCCAGACTTTCCCCACTCTCCGTGACTCGATATATGGCTGCTGTTGGCCACTCCCCACTCCTTGACACTCTTCCGCTTCTGACTTCCTCTCTCTACCACTCTGTAACCCCGCTCCCGCTCCTGAATACCTTTATCCCACTCCCTGACACCCCCTCCCGCTCCCCTCTCTCCCACTCCGAAACTCAACTCTCCCACTTCGAACTCCCTCTCTTTCACTCTGTGACACATCTTCCCGCTATCGACTACTCCTATTTCACTCAGTGACACTCCCTACCGCTCCTGACTCATCCCTCTTGCACTCCGTGATCCCCCCCCCCCTCTCTCTCTCTCTCTCTCTCTCTCTCTCTCTCTCTCTCTCTCTCTCTCTCTCTCTCTCTCTCTCTCTCTCTCTCTCTCTCTCTCTCTCTCTCTCTCTCTCTCTCTCTCTTACCCTTCGCGACATCCTCCCGCTTTAGTCTCCCCTCTCCCCTGCGGCTCTTGACTCCCCATCTCTGTGACCCCCTCCGCTCCTGACTCCCTCTCTTCCTCTCCGTGGTCCGTCTCCTGTTCCCGACACCCTTTCTCCCCCTCCGTGACACCCCTCCCACCACTGACTCTCTCCCTCTCCGTGTTTCTGACTCCCTCTCTCCTTCTCCGTACTCCGTCTCCCGCTCCTGACTCCCTCTCCCCTCCGTGACACCCCTCCCACTACTGACTCTCTCCCTCTCCGTGTTTCTGACTCCCTCTCTCCTTCTTCGTACTCCGTCTCCCGCTCCTGACTCCCTCTCTCCCCTCCGTGACGCTCCCCCCGCTCCTGCACCCCTCGCCGCTAGGGGCGGCTCCGCCGGCACGTCTCACCTACCTGCCTGGTACTCACAGCTCAGCTTCTCGTTGTTGATCAGGTTGAACGTGTACGGCTCGCCAGCGAGCATGTTGGACACCTCGAAGTAGAACCACTGCTGATGCCGGCTGGAGCCCACGTCCGGGCAGATCACCAGGTCATACTCGCGGGCGGCCGTCTACCGGCGCCGAACCGGTCAGCGCTGCAGGGCACCCACCACACCCGACACACGGCCGGCCACCAACACCGGGGCGCACCGTCAGGACACCCACCTCACCCGACACACGGCCGACCACCGACACCAGGGGCGCACCCGTCAGGACACCCACCTCACCCGACACACGGCCGACCACCGACACCAGGGGCACACCGTCAGGACACCGACCTCACCCGACACACGGCCGGCCACTGACACCAGGGGCGCACCGTCAGGACACCCACCTCACCCGACACACGGCCGACCACCGACACCAGGGGCGCACCGTCAGGACACCCACCTCACCCGACACACGGCCGGCCACTGACACCAGGGGCGCACCGTCAGGACACCGACCTCACCCGACACACGGCCGACCACCGACACCAGGGGCGCACCGTCAGGACACCCACCTCACCCGACACACGGCCGACCACCGACACCAGGGGCGCACCGTCAGGACACCGACCTCACCCGACACACGGCCGGCCACTGACACCAGGGGCGCACCGTCAGGACACCCACCTCACCCGACACACGGCCGACCACCGACACCAGGGGCGCACCGTCAGGACACCCACCTCACCCGACACACGGCCGACCACCGACACCAGGGGCGCACCGTCAGGACACCGACCTCACCTGACACCCCCGCGCACCGTCAGGACACCGACCTCACCCGACACACGGCCGACCACCGACACCAGGGGCGCACCGTCAGGACACCGACCTCACCCGACACACGGCCGGCCACTGACACCAGGGGGGCACCGTCAGGACACAGACCTCACCCGACACACGGCCGACCACCGACACCAGGGGCGCACCGTCAGGACACCCACCTCACCCGACACACGGCCGACCACCGACACCAGGGGCGCACCGTCAGGACACAGACCTCACCCGACACCCCCGCGCACCGTCAGGACACCGACCTCACCCGACACACGGCCGGCCACCGACACCGGGGCGCTCTGCGTGACGTCACATGACCGCTAACTGACGGAAGGACGCCGTCCACCACAGGCCTCGTCGTCAACGTGGACCATGAGACAATAAACACAGCTATTGGGCAGCGAAGCACGAGTCAAGAGCGCTGTTTCCTTTGACCCCCAATCGACGTGAGCCGGCGACGTGAGGATTGGCCACAAAAAGAGTAAGAAACATATCTAAACAGAAGACATGAATAGCCCCCCCCCCCCCCCACCCCCACCACACCATACACACACATCAGAGGGGAGTTTAAAAGGTATTTGTACCCGAATGCCTCTCCGCAGGTTTCCAGACTCGAAGCGGGACTCAAATCGGAGACTGGAGTTCTCGTTTGTCTCGATCAAAGTCGTAGCCACCCTCTTCTCGTCCAAATTATCCAGTAACCTATGTAAAACACAAAAGCCGACATACAGACAACTGATGTAAAACTCACCATGCGCCATATGCTACCTCTTTATATCGGTATGCCACCATTAATTCCTTTTGAAAATATTCACTTCTTCCTACACTCGTTGCTACGAATATTTCTGTCCCACCTAAAAAGATACGTTACATAGTTATCGTGGGGCACAAAAGCTCTCGATGTCGGCAAATAAGTCCCAGTTCTTGGTCTTTCGGGATCATGAGATTCATGCTGATAGCGTCCAACCTCGACATAACGGCCTTCAAAGAGCCCCGGCCTCGCACCCACCTGACGTCACCGACAGCCTTGGGAAATGTCTGGACCAGGAAGTCGTAGTCGTAGACCACCTTGCTGTCCGCCTTCCGCTGTCCCATCGCGTCATCAACCAGTCCCTGCACCTTCTTCCTGCGAACACAGGCTCGGCTGCACTCGAGGACTCCGGTCCAGCCTGATCACGTCTAATGTTCTCTGTTGACTGCGACAAAAGGCTTATGATTCCGCACTGCGTGTTTTTAGACATACGAATGAATAAGCGGCCCATGACACAGTTGTAATATATCCAATATATGCAATAAGATTTACACATGGTTACGCTATTGGCTCTACCAATACATAACACAATACACGGAAATAATCACTTGCCCTGTTATCCCGCGTATTATTAATTATAAATCCGCCTGAGCGATACAGGCGAGAACATGACGTCCATCTATCGTACGCAACTAATAACGCCTAAGACTCGGGCGAGAACAAAGCAGCCGCCAAACCCACCATACACGCCACTATTTTGCCAGCTCAGCACCAACAACACGTACAGCAGCAAGAACACACTCTGGCACAAAGCAAACAGCGGCAAGCACGCGTCACGAGAGTCCCCGGAGATATCGGCCGCGCTGTGCGCCGGAGCAGCGACGGGCTGCCTGTCGTTCGGCGATGCTCTCAGGGCCACGACAGCCGCATTATCAACAGCTCGCAGCCCGCCAGCACGGCCCAAGCGTCGTTGAAGCGCATCACCCCAGATGAGTGGGTATCTCGTGCGGGCGTGACCCAGCCGTCACCGAAGGCCATCGGCTCGCTCTGACCGCGGTCAGGTCAGATCACGTCAAGGCAGGACAGGGCAGGGCAGAGCAGAGCGTGGCAGGGCAATACGCGGCAGGGCAACGCAGAACAGAAAAGGACACGACAAGACGAAGGCAAGGCAAGGCAAGGCAAGGCAAGGCAAGGCAAGGCAAGGCAAGGCAAGGCAAGGCAAGGCAAGGCAAGGCAAGGCAAGGGGGAGGGCAGGGCAGGGCAGGGCAGGGCAGGGCAGGGCAGGGCAGGGCAGGGCAGGGCAGGGCACGACAGTGCACGGTCGGGCAGGGCAGGACAGGGCAAGGCAAGGCAGGACAGATCACGTCAGCTCATGTTACGCCTCACCTACAGACCAGCCGGTCGCAGACGGCCAGCGACTCCCTGTCCTCGACACCGACGGCGCCCACCAGGTCCGGATAGGCGAGCTTCACGAAAGGCGCCACGTGGCGGGTGTTCTGCGCCAGACGCCTGCGGTCAGACGCCGCCGTCAGACGGACCGGCCGCCCGCTGGCGGCGCCGGCGCCGGTGCTGCACACACCACTCGCCATGCGATCAGTTTACACTGAGTGAGGACGGTTAGACCAAGCAATGTGATGTCAGGAGGGAATGTGGTAAAACGGCTTCCAAACGCCGCTTTAGGGTATATTTGCGAACAACACCCGCTATGCAGGGGACGTCATAAACGAATATATCCCTAAACTTAAAGCGTGTGATCGGAGTTCCGTCGGGACACCGCAGCCCTAATACGTCTCTTCCTGGCTCATGTGCCTGAAAATGATCACGCTGGGTTCACACAGCCTTGCGCCACCCTGGGCCACTGAGTTTACAGCCAACGCCGGCTGTCGACAGAGCGGACAGCAGAGCCGGGTGAGTAGGCCCGCTGTGGCGTTCGTCCTGCCTCCCCGCACCTGTAGATGTCGCGGTACTGACGGCGGCTGTCGCCCTCGCCACGCCGGTCGCTCCACTCCTGCAGCACCTGCCACGCCTGGCCCAGCTTCGCGGCCGTCGGCGGAGACTTGCCCGGCGGCAGCAGCGGCGGCGGCGGCGGCGGCGACACCGGCCGCACGGGCGTCCCCTGGCGGCACAACCGCGACAGGCAGCGCGGCAGGCAGCGGCAGCCGGCCGCCTTCTCCTGCGGCGGCGGCAGCGGCGGCCGGTCGGAGGCGGCCGAGGGCGGCGGCGCCGCCGGCGGCGGGCCCGGCGACGCCGGCGCCGCCAGCTCCGGGAACAGCGGCGCGCACCGCAGCAGCTGCGCCGGCGGCGCGCGCACCGGCACCGGCAGCGCGGGCGCGTGCGCCTCCACCAGCTGCTGCCTGGCCTCGGCCTCCGTCTCGGTCTCGGTCTCGGTCTCGGTCTCGGTCTCGGTCTCGGCCTCCGACTCGGGTTCGGTCTCCGAACCGCTCTCGTCATCGGTGCGCTCGGCGCCGTCTGACGCAGGAGGGGGGCGTGAGGGGCGCCGCCGCCACGCAGCGGTCGGTGTCGACACGGCAGTGGGCACGCCCCAGCACTGAGACACAACTGGCAGCGTTACATGCGACGCCGCGCCACTGTCGCTATTGTTTGTTATGCTGGAAACTTTGCATGCAGCTAAACTCGGCTAGTTTCCGCTCGCTTTTGGTTTTAAGACAGCGCACAACATGAGCTCGTACTTTTTAAAAACCTACTAGGCTGTCCGTTCCTCGACACAGCATAAATGTCCTCCAAAAGAACCTGCAAACAAAACGCCTTCAAGTGTTGGCCGCCGCTGGAAAGCGCCATATTACCGCACCTGCACCGCCTAAAGCACCTGCGCCATATTACCGCTCACTTGTTCACAAATGTACCATAAGTTAAAAATCAGACGGCTAAATCACGACGCATCATCCCCCAACAACAGACTACATACGGATGAACGCGTGAGGGCATCACCCACCCACAGCGACAACCGCGAGACATCCAGCAGCGACCCTCGGCACTCACCACCGCTGGCTTCCGGCTTGGGCAGCGACGGCGGAGTGAACTTGATGGGGCTCTCCAGCCGCTCCACCGGCAGGCTCCACTTGGACACGCAGCGCAGGATGGTGTTGGCCGCGCGGCAGAACAGCAGGTCATGGCGCTCGGACGTCGGGCAGCAGCGGAGGAACGACTGCATGGCCTCGCACACCTTGGCCTCCATCAGCGCCTCCCGGCCGGGCTCTGTCGGAGGGGAACGTCAGGCCGGTGAGACGTCCCTGCGGCGCGGGACCCGCCCCACCTAACGTTTACATTTGAAAAGACGACCAGCGGTTCTGTTCTTGGCTCCATTTATCGCAGCTCTCATCCTCCTGTCAATGTCCATACCCCTGCTCATCTGGCCCACGTTATTTTGTTAACAACGTGACGCACGTTGTCGCACACTATTGCATTGCATGAAGCGTACAGGAACTGCGGAGATCACAATGGCCCCAGGGGTCCTGGGGCAACCAGGACTCGAACGCAGGGCCTCAACATAAAGGTCGAGGGTCCTATCGAGGTGGTATGCGAGGCGTTTGCACGGTGGACGGATCTTGTTCAGCCGTAGCTTCAACCTCAAAGGAAAACCAACAATTATGTTCAGCTCCGCTGTCGTTCCGTCTTGGAAATAGACACCTTGTTTTTTCATTTGTTCTATCCTTTCTTCACTTTATTTTTCGTTTGGGTCAAAGGACACACGGTGCATGTTATTGGACTATCTTTCACGAAGCGCCAGAGGCTTCGGTGGTCATCTCAGCACCCATGGACTGTGACGCGACTGGGACTCGCATCATGTAGTAGTAGAAAGCCCGTCCACTCGGTTACCACACCTTTGTTCACTAGAGATCTCGGGCCACGACCAAATTGAAAATATGTGTGTAGCTAGGATTCCGTTCTTTTTGAAGACACAAAATAAAAATAGCTAAACGAGAGGTCCGTTTTCCCCAGGACGCAAGTGACGACGGGGATGTGAGAGCTCCCTTCTAGGGCTAAGCCCTTAGGCGTACCTTCTTAAGCCTTCTTCTTCTCAAAGGTCCTTCTTGCCATTAGGTTGGCCACAGAGGATGCTACATTACGCAGTGGAAACGCGCAATTTCAAGACAACATAACAAATGGGGGAAAAGTCCATGACCGAAATATTTCACCCTGAGGTGGACTTGGGGGAATGCGCGTACATACGCCCCCACTTAAACGCAACACAGGGGCTGACTCACTCACGTAAAACAACAAATTTATAATCTTCTTGCTTCATGGCATTCATGGCTTACCCTTTATGGCATTTACTGATCGGTTCAATTGTCGCAAAGTCGTCAGATGACCTCCACTGCACTCTTGCGAATCACCAACGCAAACGGCTTACTGTCGCCCGCTTCAGCAGAATTTCCATGGGGCGTTGCAAGTGGCACAGGTCTGGACTCTCTTGTTTTGACGGGTTTTCAGTTATGGACGTGGTTCCGCGAATCTACGTTGTGGTCAACAGCTGATAGCTGTAAACGGATAGTGGTGCGATATCACTTCATATATATATATATATATATATATATATATATATATATATATATGTATATATATATATATGTATATATATATATATATATATATATATATACATAAAGTGCCGCCAAAACTATCCTATGGCTGCTTACGACCAGAACTCTCCCAAAGGTTTGAAAAGTGCGAGCGCCGTTGGGGAGACTCGAGCCCACCAGTCTGGAAGCACATGACCCAGTACGCTCATGTTTCACAAGAAACCAGCGCGTAATTTCGTTCCAACGACGGACAAACCGAATGCATCAGATCAATACCGTCGGCAAAAGATGGTCCCACCTCATTACCTGCAATATGATCCTCAGACATGATACGTGACGACGATTGTCAATCAGTGCAAAATCAGGCTTCACCGTTACAATTATAACTGTCCCATCCAACTAAATATCTGCGTTATCCTTCAACGGCCCAAACCATGAATAAGTACGGAATGTTTTCATAACCTGTGTCGCTGAAGTTTGTCCCAGTGTAATCTGATAATGCAACTTCGGTGGCACAGATGTGGGGGAGCTAAAACCTTTAAGAACCCAACAACACCGCGAGACACCTAACTCACGCGCGCTCCTTGGATGACCTGGATGATACTTGTACCGTCCGGACCAAAATGATAACATTTCTGTGCCTACATGCTGACAAACAGTACGCACTGCCACACTTCCTGCATATCCACCGTGGCCTGCTCACCCCTGTCCCAGACCGAGACCGACAGGCACGGAACAGGGTCGGGGCGAAGCCCGAAATTCCGAAGCGCGACGCCATCACTTCCCGCCGCTCTGCCTGTCCGTCCACCCGCACCTCCCGTCCGCCGGCGCCTCTCCCCCGTCCCCCCTCTCTCCTCTCCCCGCCGGGTTCTCGCACTGGACCCGACCCCTGTTCCACTGACTATCGATGTTTGCGGCGCGACCGGCTGCACACGACACCACACGGCACGACTATCAGTTGCGCCCGTCACGGCTGCTCGTGGCAGACGCCACAGACTGTTGACACACTCCTTAATCCGCGCCGCCGGAGTGGGCCGATGGGGCTTCTCTAGGAGCGTGCAGATCGGGTGCACCCTCACAGCACGCCGGAGTAATTTTCCGTTCGGCGTCTGGCGGTCGTGTTTGACGGCACGCAATGACGTCCTGAATGTTGCTGTCGCTGGTGTGGTGAGCCGCTGCTGCACGCAGGCTTTCCGTGATAATCACGAGCCGCTGCTGCAGGTCTTTCCGTGATAATCACGAGCCGCTACTGCACACGCAGGCTTTCCGTGATAGTCCACCACGATGCCAAGCTCGCACCGCATCCTCAGAAATCTCACACTTAATCTCACCAATCACTGTCAAGTCGCATAGCCGCATCAGATATGCATAAAATTACGCGCGTGGGGATGCCCGTGCCGAGGAGCGCGCCGTACGCGGTACCTCCGTGCACCTGCAGCGTGATCAGAGCAGCGGCGTGTGCCATGCCCACCAGCCGGAGCTGAACGGGCCGGTAGGCACGGCGGAAGAAACCAGCGTCGTCTTTGCCATGTCCGTGGCAAGCACATGGCAGCAGCCGCACTATACCATCAATAAGCGGGCTTTATACCGACACCAGGGCAGTGTCCTAGACTTGCCGACTTTGGGTGTAAAGCAACACCCTATGGGAGGAATTTTTCACTCCTTTTCCCCATATTTTATGTGAATTTTTCACTCCCGCCTGACGCTTTCTAATCGCACATGCCAAACCCCTATTTCCGTTTCTGAGGCGTTCAGATGTCATCCAAAACCGATCTCACTTGAAAGCACCGAGCATAAACGAGGCTCCGCAGAACCTGGACACCTATGGCTATGTCCTAACGCACCTACATCTGAATCATGTCTATGTATGCACAGAGCAAGGGCGCCAGGTACCTCCAAGCCCAAGAACCCCAGCAACCCCAGCCGCTTGCACGCATTCAGTTTGGTTTGTTTACAAAATGCATCAAAATCTGCAGCTGTGTGCCAAACGCAAGGTTTTCACGCATCCCCTATTTTTTTGGTCTCACCACCACGCCACGAAAGCAGAGCCTGGTGCAAACACCAGCAAGGCCTGGTACATAATTTTATTCTACGTATTTCTTTTTTCCCGGGGAAACTTGACCACCAAATTGCATCCCTCCCGAAATGCATGAGTGAAAAGTTCAAGAAATGCCTTGTAATTTAAACTTACAAGATGAATATCACCATTTGAGCACTTACATTAACAGATTTCAAGTGAAATCAGCTGATTACAGAATTTTGCGAGAAAACTACCGGTCTTTACATTTATTCAGCTACTTTTGTTTTTCTTGGCATCAAACCAGTGTGATACTACTTTATTCTTTCTTCCTTTTCGATTATCTTCAGAGGTACCATCTGTCACCTAAAATTTTGACCAATTTCTCTGCAAGATGCTCCAACTGCAAACTTGTACGTATTTCATACATAAATTTGATTAATTCGCCAGCCGCCCAAACATGTTTGATATGCACCCAAGCGTGAACAATTCGCAGGGAATGGATGAGACTTCAACTCGCAGGAGAGACAATTCGCAGAAGAAGTGCATGGCAAATGGCAATAGGAATTGTGGAAGAATCAGTAGCTCACAACTGCTGCTGTGATACAAACAGGTAATACAGGATGAGATGATGTAAGACCTCTTTAGGTTAGGCGTAGGCTACTTTCATGAAAATAAGCACTGGTATTTTGGAAGAAACAGTGACAAAATGTTTGTTTTCCCTGACCCCATCTTAACAGAAGCCAGAAGTATGTCTATTGTGTTTGGCTGATGTGTAGGATTCCAAGGTTTTTTTGTTTGAGTGTCTTATGCTTGTTACATTTTGTTGTTATTTTGCTATTTAATTCCTTTGCTTTGTTTTGTTTTGAAAGTGCCGTGGAAGGGAATTGAAAAGTGCAGCATCAAATTATTGGTGTTAATCATTTGTTATGCTCATAATATTGTCATGAAATTACCGTGTTTTAACACGCGCCTGGCTGGCCGGCTAGATATCCTTCGCTCGGGTCGGGTCAATTTGACCACCCCCCCCTCTGAGATCTCGGGAACTGACAAAGCTAGATACACCAAATTTACAGGGTGTCTTGACCTATACGTGAACTCGCTTAGATTAAGGTTTCAGCTTCCTGGGTCATAACCTTCGGGTCAAATAAGGTCAAACAAGGTCAAATTCCAGGTTGGTCTCCAAATCGCCCCCCGAACCTAGGCAACTGTCTCTAAGCAAAAGTTCACGAGCCCATTTGAGGTCACTGACCTTGTTTGACCCTTTGAAGGTCATGGTGACCAAAATGATACAAGACTGCTCTGCGTTTTGCACTTGGATAAGCGACAAAGATTGCGCTAGGCAGTGTGTTCCTAAAACAAAACGTTCGACCCGGGTCATCTTAGGTCAATGGCCTGTTCTGACCTCAAAGAAGTCAACTGAAGATGTATGATACGGTTCCTGCTGTCAATAAATTCGAAATGAGCACCAGAAACTATTCCATACAGTAAGCCTTACACTAATAAATCAGGTTGGCTTTTACCTTGGTCTGACCACCATACCTGACCCTAGGTCAACGTAATTTGCTCATTCAATAGTTGTGGTGTCTAAGAAAGCATCTCAGAGATGTATGTCTTTGTCAAACACCCCGTTGTTGTATCAGATTGAACGATTCCCTAGAAATTGCCTTCGCTGAAACCATGGGCTGACTTTGACCTGTCATAGGTAAGCGACCTTACAAGGTACATCTCAAATTTGTATGTCAAACGATCCGCTATGCAATTTTCTACAGCTATGCAACATTTGGCGCAACTACGCCGCGCCGTTCAGAAACCATTCGGGAAAGGCCCTCGGGGGGGGGGGGGGTCAAATTGCCCCCCACCCCCACCCGAGCGCGTGCTAATGTATTGTTTCATTTTAATGGCCTAAAAAACGAAATAGTTTTGTCAGGTTCCTGATATTACATCCATGCCAACTTGACGTAGATGTCTTTGTTTGCTGAAGCGTCAGTCACGAGCTCATAAGCTCCATCTTTTATTAATTGATTTTTTCACTCCACGGTCTTTTTGCGATGACATTTTTCACTCCCAGCCTAGTTCAACAGCGATTCTAGCTCCCGGCACCACGGACTCCGCCGATCTGCGCCACAAGCCCAGCGTCACAAACACTCCTGTTTGCCAAGGCACAGATACAACGGTAATGGTTGCGAGGCTCACATTTCAGACGTGCATATCGGACACAGTCCACTCAACCTCAGACATTAGTCTTACGTCGTGGAAACTGACGGAAACATGCGGGGGTGTCAATTTTTGTGAATTACTGGGGGGGGGAGCCGAACCCAAGGCCCGACAACCTACCCTCTCCATTTTTCTCACCGAATTTAGCCCACTTTATTTTGATTAAACGCAATATATGTTTTCATTATTTGTATAATTTATGAAGGACTTTAATCTAAGCCGTGTAGAAGCCATACAGGGTTGGATCCAGGGAACAGGCGCTAGGCGCACGCGTCTCTTCTGATCGGCACGTGAAGGCGCCACCTTATGGCCACCTTAGAACGCCGATGGCGCTCTTCTATGGCGGTCATGGGAGGCGGCACGCATTTTGGCTGTGGAGGACGGGGACGGGGTTAGCCATGAAGCACTTGGGTTATTCCAGAGCCTTTCGCTTGAACCTCACAAACAATTGCGTGCCTTATAGCGCCAGGTATGTGAAGTTTCTTGTATCGTTTATCCGTTCAGCTGTCACGATTTTTATCTTGTGGTGAGGGCAGTCACGACTTTTTGTTGTGAGACTGGTACGGGACGCCACTACGCAGAAAGATCAAAGAAGATAGTCTTTGTGTTATGGCCATTCTTTACCCACGTTTTTTTGTAGCATTCCAGCCAAAAGCGTTGGGGGGAGGGGACAAGCCGAAATTAGGGGAACTCAACATGGGGGGGGGGGGGGGGGCAGAACCCTCACAAGAGAATACAAATCGACACCCGTGGAAATATGCGAATCCGACTTTGGTTACACACATACACGGCGCAGTCTGCCAATGCCGTGGCTAGCGTGTATGGTTTAAGGCATTGGGCAGAAGCTGCCAGACGGGCTGAGAAGCTTTCAATTACGGGTGCCGACCCCACAAGGCCATCCAAACAAATTTCAAAACGCATACAACCGTGACCGACAGACTATCGACAGATTTGTCATGCCGGGTCACCAAGCACGTCGAATGCAGCATCAAAAAGGCGTCAAATTAGCCTGATTCGACCACGGTACGCTTTCCAGAAGGCCGCTCCCTCCAGACTCGCCGCCCATCCCTGGTCAGAGTCGCGGCGGGCGGTCAAAGCCAGCCAACCCCAACCGCGCGACATAAGCAGGATCAGGCGTGGCTTCCTTCTCCAGCGTTCCCGCCTTGCCCACGACACGCGGCGAAGTCCGCACGGCGCCCGGCCGCACGAGTGCACACGACACCGCGGTGTTACACCGACGTATTATCGCGGCCGAGAGGGTTCTCGACTTTGCGCCCGGCACACGCGGCGGGCGGCGAGCGTAGTTTTGCACCCGGCACAACTCACGAGCCCAAAGCGGTCGCAATTCCGGCCGCGGTCGCGGATCTCCCACATTTTGCACACGGCACATACCAACGATGCCGGAGCTCTCTTGCGCGGTAGCGGCGGGCGGCGCAGCGTCAGTGCCGTCCGCACTGACGCAGCGTCTGGGTTTGGTGGCGGGATTTTCCGACAGGCTGCTGCAGGTTCGTATTTAATGAATCAATAGCTGGAACATGTGGACACACCGAGCAGATCCCTCCAGCTCTCGGCCGGTCTAAGGTGCAGTATGGCTCTACCATTAATTTAAGGAAAACATCGCTTTCTGGCGCTGACCGAACGCTGGGAGCAGTTTTGCACCCGACACACGGCCGGCGCTTGCCGGACGCCGGGCGCAGTTTTGCACCCGACACACGGCCGGCGCTGACTGGAAGCCGGGCGCAGTTTTGCACCCGACACACGGCCGACGCTTGCTGGCAGTGTCCTAGAATTGCCGAATTTGGGTGCAACGCAACACTTTATGAGGAGGATTTTTTCACTCCTTTTCCCCATATTTTATGTGAATTTTTCACTCCCGCCTGACATTGTCTAATTGCACATGCCAAACCCTTATTTCCCTTTCTGAGGTTTTCGGATGTCATCCAAAACCGGGCTCACTTGAAACCACCAAGCATAAACGAGGCTCCACAGAACCTGGACAAATGGCTATGTCCTGCCTCACATACATCTGAATCATGTCTATGTATGCACAGAGCAAGGGCGCCAGGTACCTCCAAGCCCAAAAACTCCAGTGACTCCAGCCGCTTGCACGCAGTAAGTTTGGTTTGTTTACAAAATGCATTACAATCGGCAGCTGCGTGCGAAATGCAAGGTTTTCACGCATCCCCTATTGTTTCGTCTCACCACCGCACCACGAAAGCAGAGCCTGGTGC